AGGAGTAGTAGTATCACAGGCAGGCTTGGAACTTAGTGTAAATAGTCAGAGCAGGACTCTGGCCTACTGTGATTCTCTTATACTAATAAAGTTCTGCCTTAGGGTTTGGGGCCAAAACCCAGTCAGTTATAAAGTATCCATTTGCCTTCCTTCATTTACTGAATTCCCTTGGAGATCCTTCAGTAGCAAAATACCCAACTGACATAGTAAATATTCATGCATTCTTAGATCTCCATGACAAAACCACCACTCTAGATGGCTCATAATCCTCAATACCTGACATACACATTGCACTACATTCAGCACGTCACATATATCATTTAATTTAAATCTGGCAAGATTAAACAACTTGCCAGAAGTCACAAAAACTTATAACAAGCGGGAGAATCAGGATTTAAATCCAGCCCAACAATTCTAAAATCTGAATGTGTGCAATATGCTACCAGCCCTCGTGTTCCAGTCTCCCTCGCCACACCACATCTGAAGCACATCAAAACCACGCCTCTTCTTCCTGGGACAGCTAGTCCAGCTCACATTTTACATACTCGGTCTAAATTAGTTTTTGGAAAATTCATGTCTAGTATGATCTATCTGGAATATCACTAGGTAAAATCCAGTTATTTCATTCATTCGTTTTTGACTATAAAAAGAAAATTAGAAAATAATATTTTATATACTAAAATCTAACATGTTCAAGGAACAGGCAGATTACCCTGCTTATCTTATGCACAGATTAAAATAAATTTAATTTTTTAAATTTAAAATTTATTTTAAACAAGAACTATAAGATACATAATTTAGAAACTGGAGCATGTCTTTATAATGATTCCATTACCATTAACATGCTGAAGTGCAGCGTAATGAAGTACTCCAATAAAGACACAAATAAAGTAACTTCTATTGTATTAGTCTTATTTTACAAAGAAGCTAAGTAATTCTTGTCAAAAATACATTCCTTAAACATTCACTTTGGCCTAAAAGTAGTTATATTTTTATCTAACGTATGAAGTTTTAACTAAAAGCAAATAAAATGAGTAATTTTTGTGGGTTTGCTTCTAAAATTTCTATTACAGTTATTTTCAAAAATATTAAGAGAATTATATTTGGTGTCAGAAGCAGGTAATGAATTTATGCTGTACACCAGAAACTGACACAACATTGTAAACTGACTATACACTTCAATAAAAAAGAATGCAAATTAAGAAAAAAAAAAGCAGCAGGTAATGAAAGAAAAAATATAATCAAAGAGGAAAAGCAGAAAGGGAAGATCCAATTTAATTTCTATTTCATGTGAAAAGGGCTTATTTTGCATCTTCTCACTTTGTGTATAAACTAAAGCTACATCAGCATTAAGAATATTGTAAAGGATAAAATTTGGCACAGAAAATTCTATATTCAAATATTTTAAGTTATATTTTATTGTTGTTAGCTACATTCAAAGGAAATTCTAAAGAGACAACTTGAAAAACTTTTTGAAGCAAAAAATGCTGAGAAGGTAGAGGAAGCAGAGAAAAGTCTCATCAGTACCTTCCCCCATGAGCTTATAGCAGAGGTGGGTTCTGAGAATCCCTAAAGACATGTAGAGAAAAAAATGGAAAATCAATAATCCAGAACATGCTCTAGTGATCTACACCTGCGCCCCACACCCTCCACCCAGAAAGCTACTTTTCTTATATAATCTAGTGTAAGAACGGGCAGGCACTGCTTTGATGGTAGTTACTTCTGTAAAGAACTGTTACATTCATCAGACCTGTCCAAGACTGCTGCCTAATTTGGAGTTCTATTATCTAGAAGTTTTCTAAGTATGTTTCCTAACCAGCAGAATCAACATTCCACAGAAACTTGTTTATAAGATAAATTCTCCAGGTCTACCCCAGTTCAATGGAGTCAGAAATATGGGAGTGGGGGAGGTGGGAGGCTGCCAGTCAGTGTTCTAGCCAAGCCTCTGGGGGATTCTGATGTATGCTGAAGTCTGAGAACCACTACCACAACCAGAAACAGAAATGTAAGAAACCGAAGAGGGCTCTAAGAAGAACAATGAAGATGAATGGAACGCTTGAGACAAAAAGAAACCTGTGTCAGTGACATTTACAAGGTTTCAAGCATATGAAGAATTATTCACAAGGGAAGATAACCAGATGCTCTCCATTTCTCTGAAGGAAGATAAAGAAAACGTTATGGACTTCAGTTGCAGCACAAGAAATTTAAGTTAAAATACAATTCAAGTTTGCTGACACATAGTGTTGTTAAACACTAAACTGAGTTGCTTAAGAGTTTGTAGAACTCTCTCCTCTAAGTATCTGCTTCAAAAACTAGAGGAGATTATAAACTTTTTTTATTTCCAGATAAATGATTACCATCTATTGCATAAGTGGACCAACATTTAGAAAACATGAAAAATATGTTGTTACATTATAGACCTCTTAAAATTATGTAAAATTTAACATATCTGAGGTACAGTAACTGTCTTAAATATGAGTGCTAAAATAAGAATACTTATTCAAAAATGAAACATTCATATTGAAAGTATTTCTTTAAATTATAATAATCCACATTATAAACTGACTATACTTCAATAAAAAATATATTAAAAAAATAAATTATAGTAACAGTGTTCCTTAATAGTTCAAAACGTGAAGCACATATAAAATTCTTGGTTGACAAAATTTACATGTATTTTCAAATAAAAAGAAGAAATAGAATATAAATGATTAAGAGGTAAAAGACTAACTAGTTGATATCTAAAAATTGTATCCATGTATTTTAAAAAAATTACTGAAAAAAATCCATTAACGTGAATATATACGTGTGTTAATGCAAAATGACAGCAATGACCAAATGTGTGGCTTTGCCAAATCACTCCTAACATTCTGTCACAATCTTATACTTTTATATTAATAACTTCATTAAATAAATATGGTAACAGGTAACTAAAGTAAAAAGGTACAAAAAAGTCCATGTCCTGAGCTCTGATAATATCTGTTAAGTCTCACTTGTAAAGTAAGTGTGTCACAGAC